ACTCAGTAAAGAATAAGTCACACAAAACTGGGAAATATATAAGCATTCAGAATAGCCAGAGTAGACAAACAATTCTCTGAACACCAGTGGATTCACGGGAGAGCCCAGCCTAGCGAGTCTACATGAGTCCCTCCTTAAGTGCTGAAACAGGCCTGGAGAGCGAGCTGGTCTTTATATATCCCATACGACTTAAAACAACCCTCCAAAGGATCAAGCTTAACAGCAAGAAATTTAACCACTGCCCAAAAAAAAGAAAAAAACTTAGCACACTTAGAGGAAATTGCAGACTCAGTGCAATGATCACTGTGTCTAGCACCCAATCTAAGTTACCAGACCTGGGTGAGGAACCAACACCAACCAGAAATGATGGAGAGGGTGGAATTTCCATATGAAGACATTTAATAAGGTGACTTCCACTTTAGGGAATGAGGAGGTGCATAATTTCAAGCCCTGGAATTTATTTACAAAGCAAATATTAAAGGACTCTGAAGTGTCAAGACGGAAGCACTCCCTAAGACCCAATGAACAACAGGGGTGGCTTTTCTCCCCCAGTGGCAGGCAGACCTGCAGGGAGGAGCTGCCAGGGCAAGGCCAGCTTGATTTCTGTTCTTCGCTTTGTTTTGTTTCTCCGTGGGTTTACATTGGTTGATCGTGAGGGGGCGGGCGGGGTATTGCTCTGTGTGTGCAGGCATGCCATGGGGCAGTTGTCAGGAGTCGGTTCTCTCCTGTACAATGTGGGTTCCAGGGATTTGACCCAGGTGAATGGCCTTTCTCTCTCTCTCTCTCTCTCTCTCCTCTCTCTCTCTCTCTCTCTCTCTCTCTCTGTGCGTGTGCGTGTGCGTGTGTGTGTGTGTGTGTGTGTCTTCATTTGCAAACAGGAAACTCTGACTTGCGTTTCATAATGATATTATTCACAGATGCTCGATTGCGCTTAGAGACACTGCTCTATCTGATTTCCACAAGACTTGCTCACAAGGTTGCTCAGATCCTTATTGCTACATTTCCTCCACCAGCTATAGAAAGGCTTATGAGAAGCATCCCTCCTAAGAGAATCTGTTTCTCTTAGGTTCCAGCTACGGAAGGCAAATGACAGAATCCTATGTCCTACATGGCATGAACATCACTTGTGAATAGAACTCTCTCGAATCATGGGGTGCCAAGGCTAAAGTATGGAGCACACACACACAGCCTGTGGGAGCACTGGTTTGTGACAACTTTAACATTTTTATCAGATAATTCTAATTCTCTGTCACTTTGATTGACGCCACTGTCAACAGATTATCTTTCCACACTAATTTGGGGTCTTCCTGGTATTTGGTAGGAGTGGGTTTTTGGTTTTTTTTTTAAACTGAAACCTGGGGACATTTTTATAATTTATCAAGAAACCTTGAATTTTATTTTAATTACATTTTCATAAAAAAAATATGCATAGCATAAAGCCGGGCATGGTAGTACATGCCTTTAATCCCAGCACTCAGATCTTAGTTTGAGGCCAACCTGATCTACAGAGTGAGTTCCAAGACAGCCAGGGATAAACAGAGAAACCCTGCTAAATAGGAAAAAGAAAAAGAAAAAACATGCACAACATAGATGTACCACCTTAACTCACTGGCCTTAAGCATATCCACTGCGTTCTCCATCCCCAGGATCCATTTCTAGAACTTTTCACCACCCAAACAGACACTCTTTACTCACTAAACATTAAGTATTCATCCCTCTGGGACTGGAGATCGCTCAATGGTTAAGAGCTCTTGTTCTCACAAAGGACCTGAGTTCAATTCCCAGCACCCGGATGGCAACTCACAACCATCCATAACTCCAGTTCCAGGATGCCCATGATACACAGACATACATGTGAGCAAGATAATCATACACATAAAATAAAATAAATAAATATCCATCCCTCCTTCTACCCAACACCTGGTAACTGCTAGTCTATTTTTGTTCTATAAATTTGTCTCCTCTAGGTAACTCATATAAACAAATTACATAAATCTCTTCCTTTTAAAAATATTCTTTTGTGCTGGGCGGTGGTAGCGCACGCCTTTAATCCCAGCACTTGGGAGGCAGAGGCAGGCGGACCTCTGTGAGTTCAAAGTCAGCCTGATTTACAAAGGGAGTTCCAGGACAGCCAGGACAGTTAGAGAAACTCAGTCTCAAAAAACAAACAAACAAACAAACAAACAAAAATATTCTTTTGTTCCTGGCTTGTTTCACTTCGCATAGTTTTTTCAAGATTCATTCATGTTATACCATGTATTAGAACTTTGGTGCTTTTTTTATTAGTTTATGGCAGAATACTATTCCAATATATATGTGTATATATAACATATTTTATTTATATATTTCATATATTAATATCATACTTACTAACTTATGGATTTTAATCATATATGATTCCCCATCATTCCCACTATCTAATCAAAATATCATTTAATTAAGTGCTTATTAAGTTCTTGTTATTTTCCAATATATCAAGCAATAAACCATAAGATTCTGTGATGAATTATAAATTCCATTTATTAGGAAGGAACATAAAGAAAAATGTATTTTACGATATTCTTTTTCCCTCAGTAAATTCTAATTCACTCTTTATTGAACTAAGATTTTGCTATTTAATTTTTAATTTTATATATTTATTTAGAGACACTGCACGTGTGTATAATGTGTGTGTGTGTGTGTGTGTGTGTGTAAGTGTGCCCATGTGCGCACACACGCGCGCGCACACCCCCAAGCCCTGGCACGTGTGTGGAAGTCAGAGGACATTTCTCGGGGCAGCTCTCTCCCTCCAGCAGTGCCTTTATCCAGCTAGCCACACGGCAGGCCCTCCGCGAGTTTTAAAGGGGATCTCTGCTGTGTACTTCTCTTAGCTGGGCCAAAGAGAGAATCCAATACCGTCATCTGGAAATAGGCCAGATGTCACTCAGTTAAGTATAAAGCCATCTTTACTCACAATGGATCTTCACACAAACACACTGCCCTACTTTGCTCTCACTTGCTTTGATAAAACGGTGTTCAAAGCATCTTAGGGAAGGAAAGGGTTTGTTTGGCTTTCGTGAAGGGAAGCCAAGGCAGGACTCGAAGGCAGGGGCCTAGAGGGGAGACCTGAGGCAAAGACCAGGCCGCTTACTGCTTTCCAGGCTCCCTTTTTCATACAGCTCAGGCCGCACCTGCCAAGAGATGGTGCCGCCCACAGTGGGCCGGGCCTCCTATATCAATTAGCAATGAAGACGAAGCCCCTCAGGCAGGTCCCCCAGCCAACCTGATGGAGGCCATGCCTCACTGGCGCTTCCCTCATCCCAGTGATGCCAGTCTGTGTCAGCTTGAGCAAGCACTAACCAGCACAAAGACAGACAAGCTCCAGCAGCACTGTGTTTCCTGTCACTGAACTGTGTGCTGCTACACTAAGAAATCTTTCGAATGAACTGGACATTTTAGATACTTTCTAATGCAGTCTTCTCTTTGATTCTTGGGCATGTCAGTTCATGCTCAACTTGAAATTACGGATTATTCATCTCTGGTGCTCTTCTCTCTTCAGAAAAATTAAGAGCAGAAAAGGGAATGAAAGTGAAATTCAATTCAGTCAGTTTAGTTGTCTAGGGACGCCATTGTATATTGAATTATGATAAATTACTGGCCAAAAGGGAGGAAAGGTTTAGAGTACCCCCAAAAAATATATAGACAAAGTTCTGTGAGCCTTCTCTTTCCATGGCTTGCTCTATGAAGATACTATTTTGGGCACCTATTTTTTTTTTTCCATTTCTTGTTTGTATTTTAGTCTCTTTGAAGAGCATATTTACTTTGGAACACAGAGAAAATCTACCTCTCCCCATGTGTGAAGTATGAATATCAAAGGGAGACATTACTGACAGTTTGGGTCCTTCTGAAAGCACTTTCCCCACATCTATAAATATCTCAGAGAAATTAAAATCCTTGGGAACCACAGATTGGTCCGGGAAACAGATGTTTGGATTCTTCTGAGTTAGCTAGTGCAGACACCAACAATAATCCAGCTACAGTGCACATCAAAGAGATGGTCTCACTGTGTGCTTAGAGGATCTGAAGCTATTGCCGCTCCTTCTTAGGAAGAATTTTTGAAGTTTAGTTTTTGCTAAATAAAACTTTATTCTTTTTCAGATATGTTGATATGGACTGAGAACATTTAAATACCTAAAATTAGATAAATTACATTTGGCGCATAATTGTGCTTCATTTGGGAACTATATACTTTGCTTTCTGCTTTAAGTATGGGTGTACATTTTACATTCTCAACCAGAGTATAAAAACCTGAATATAAAAATCCCATATTTCATAATTCTATTACCCACTGTAACTAGTGTGGCACTCTGCACATAGTAGGTTTTCAAGAAATATTGGTAGACTATAGAGTTAGTGAGTAATGATGTAGAAACTACTTAAAATTAACAGTAAAAAAGAAGGCTATTTTATTCTTAATGATATTGTAATGAAGACTATTTTAAACTCTATGCAGCAATGATACACACAATATTTAAACTATTTATGTGCCTCAACTTGACATAATTTCATGATAACTTGATGGCAATCACATTTAAATATATTAGAATATTTTTGTAATAATGGTGTTCTAGAATAGCAACTTTAATAGCTAGGAAAACATGTTAATAATGGCCATTAGTCTGAAGGAAACAAAGAACACCAAACATTTTTTTTTCAGAAATAAATGTATAAGTTTAAACATTCTGCTATATTTATGAGCAAACCTTAAATTAAGATTTATAAGATGTAAACTATCAAATGTTTCAGCTAGGAAATAATCGGCACTCTATTTGTAATTTTCCCATGTACACATGGGGGAATATGTTTTTAAAGGTACCATTCTGCTCTTGTCTCTGACTATCTATCACTGTCTAAATACGAAGATGAATTCTGCTTGATGCAGGACCAAGGTGTTTCCAGAGTCACCAAGCGAGCGATCACTTGCGTGTCTCAGTCATGGATGACAAATGGTCTCCCCTTACCTTCAGGACAGCTATGAACGGTACAAAGTTGGCCCTCTGGAGTCCATTTTTATAGAGATCTGAAACAAACAAATGCATAAGCTTTTTCCTTGGTTCAATCACAATGGTACTTTATCTTTTCGTCTGGCAGATGAAGCTTTCTAGTGTCTAAGAGCACAAGGAAAAAACTGACCAAGATTATTCCTGTTCAGACAGCCCGAGACTCATGACATTTTTAATAGAAGAAAAATTAGCAGTCACAGAAAGGAATCAGAAGCTTCCCGGCTGATCGGCCTTGCGTAGGAGGAAGAGGCAGTGGGGAATGTGAAGACGTGCCTTCCAGAGTCCTGCGTCAATCATCCAATGGAAGAAGACGACACAGAGCCCTGCGTGGTGGCACACGCCTTCACTCCCAGCACTCGGGAGGCTCGAGGACAGCCTGGTCCACAGAGAGAGCTCCAGAACAGCCGGGGCAGAACATAGAAACCCAGCCTCAAAAACAAGAAGGAGGAGGCGACATGTCTAATTAGCCATTGAACATAGAAGACTGCACCAGGAAAGGCATCATCTTTTCTTGTCCTGTAAGTTCTCAGTAATTAATTGAAAGTCATGTAAAATTAACCCCTCTAGAAAACACACGAATAGACAAAACTGCTCCTGAATTTGTACTAAGGTCCCACATTTGATTAAAAGGTAAGGAAAGGCCAGCAATGAATTGTCTAAAAGTCCAAATACTCTTCTTAACAAGCTAAGACACAAGGTGATTACGGCAGAGGCAGTGTTTTCTTACTTAGATGTTTTTCAACATGTGTGTGTGTCACAGTGAACGTACACGTACACAAGACAGATTCATAAATACACTCATTTTCAAAAGCAAATAAAAAGAAAGGGGAATAGACTTTAAGGATTTTATACTTTTCTTATAAAGGAAGGCTTTTGTCAAACAGAGCGGCACACATACGTGACCGCAGTACTCAAGAGGCACACATACGTGACCGCAGTACTCAGGAGGCACACATACGTGACCGCAGTACTCAAGAGGCACACATACGTGACCGCAGTTCTCAGGAGGCACACATACGTGACCGCAGTACTCAAGAGGCACACATATGTGACCGCAGTACTCAGGAGGCACACATGTGTGACCGCAGCACTCAGGAGGCACACACATGTGACCGCAGCACTCAGGAGGCACACATATGTAAACGCAGTACTCAAGGGGCACACACATGTGACCGCAGTACTCAGGAGGCACACATATGTGACCACAGTACTCAGGAGGCACACACATGTGACCGCAGCACTCAGGAGACGAGGCTCAGAAGATTGCGGTGGGGTAGCCTGAGCTATACAGACCTGGCTTGTCTTGAAAACAAAACGGGATCACAGCCACTTGTAACTTTGGCTCCAGGACATCCCACACCATATTCTGGTGCGCGCGTGCGCGCGCCCGCGCGCACACACACACACACACACACACACACACACACACACACACACATATCCACATCCATATTCATAAACAATAAAAATATGTCTTTAAAAAAGAAAAGGGATGGTAGAGATGGCTCAGTGGTTAGAGCACTTGCTGCTTTTCCAGAGGACCCGGGTTCCATTCCCAGCAGCAATGCCAGGCAGCTCACAACTGTCTGTAGCTACAGGTCCAGAGGGTCTGGTGCCTTCTTCTGGCACCTACAGGCACCTTCATGCATGTGCTCATACACACACGCAGAGACACATATATACACATACACACACAAACAGAGACACATATATACACATACACACACGCAGAGACACATATATACACATACACACACACACAGAGACACATATATACACATACACACGCAGAGACACATATGTACACATACACACACGCAGAGACACATATATACACATACACACATGCAGACACATATGTACACATACACACACGCAGAGACACATATGTACACATACACACATGCAGACACGTATGTACACAGGCACACATGCAGAGACACACAGAGACACATATGTACACATACACACATGCAGAGACACATATGTACACACACATGCAGAGACACATATGTACACATACATACATGCAGACACATATGTACACACACACAGAGACACATATGTACACATACACACACACGCAGAGACACATATGTACACACACACACGTAGAGACACATATGTACACACACATGCAGAGACACATATATACACATACACACATGCAGAGACACATATGTACACATAAATAAAAATAATTTTTAAACCTTAAAAAATTTTTTTTTTTAATTTAGCTCTTTATTATAAGCACCAGAGATGGCTGTGAGCCACCATGTGGTTGCTGGGAGTTGAACTCAGGACCTCTGGAAGAGCAGTCAGTGCTCTTAACCACTGAGCCATCTCTCCAGCCCTGGCAAACATTTTGTTTTTTTGGTTTTTTTTTTTTTTGTTTTATTTTGTTTTTCGAGACAGGGTTTCTCTGTGTAGCTTTGTGCCTTTCCTGGAACTCACTCAGTAGCCCAGGCTGGCCTCGAACTCACAGAGATCCGCCTGCCTCTGCCTCCCAAGTGCTGGAATTAAAGGCGTGCGCCACCACGGCCCGGCCTTAAAACCTTAAAAATATTTTTAAGGGAAACTTCTTAGAAAAAAGATTTTCAAGAGTTTGGAATCTTATTGCATCAAACAATTGTCTTTTATGGACATTTTATAGAGCTATTGGATTTTTTAACTATAAAAACGGAAACAGTAAAGAAGTTTCCTCAGTAGTAAAAACACAAATTAAATCACACTGTATCTGTGGTTTTCAAAACACAGTATTATAGGATCTTTCCTGTATTTCCTTGTTTAGAGAAAATCTTATAACCGATGGATTTCAGCTGCTGTGTTTCATGATGATTGGAGAACATTTCCTCTCCTTGGAAGCACTCATGCTGGCCTCACGTAGTGAAGGGAGAGTGCACGTGCCTGTGGTAACTGAGGAGCAGCTTTGGTTCAGGAGCATCACCAACGGTGAGACAGCGCTGGCCAGGCTCTGAGGATGTCGGAGTTCAACGTGAGATCTTTATATAGTCCATACTCCACTGAGTAGAACTGTAAAATTTGGTAAATGGGTTTAAAATTAAGCATTTCCACAGTTTTCACCAACTGCAAAGGCTGCTGGAGAAGGTGCATTAAACGTAGTGGGGCCTGGGGGCTGAATGGTAGAGTGTTTTCCCAGCATGCATGAGGCCAGGCTCAACCCCAGGCCCCACTCACACAGATAACAGATTTGATTGACAGGAAGTAAGAAAAAGAGAAAATAAGAATGTTTAAAACTCAGTCCATGTTCTAGCAGCTTTAGTCATAAAAGTGAGAAGCAAAGAAACAAGAAAAAAATCCTGTATTTGTAACATCCCCAACATGGAGGCAATCCAGATGTGCACATCTGCACAGTGAAATACTATTCTGCAATAAAAAAAAGATGGACTAAGTGTACAACAGGCAGATCTCAAAAGAGGCGAGACCCCAAACAACGTACGCTGGGTGGTTCCCTTGATCCAGAGCCAGAGGGAAGACAAGCCTGTCTACAGCCCAGGAGCGAGTAAGCGGAGCCTGAGCAAAGAAAGAGCAGGACCACGAAGGTGACGCAGGACACAGGAAGCTTTGGGAAGAAGCAGAACTACTGGCCACATGGCTGTGGTGATGGCTTAAACAATGAGTTCAATTTTGAATTTTTTTGGGATGTGAGTGCTGTATGTACATGACTCCCGTATATGGACAGTGTTTAAAACGTGTCATTTCTGTTATATATTAGAAATCCCTTTATGGAAACATATCAATAGTAGTGAATATATGAGCACAACAGTCTAGAACAAAGCTAAGGTGCTAGTCTTAAGGTTTTGTTTTTGTTTTGTTGTTGTTGTTTGGTTGGCTTTTTGAGACAGGGTCTAAGTATGCAGCCTAGCTGGCTGTTCTGGAACTCACCACGCAGACCACCTCGGCCTCAAACAGAGATCTGCCGGGGTCTGCCTGAGCAGTCTTCTCTTTTTCAATGCTGTAGGAGGCTGACAAGCATGCGCCTTTGGAACGAAAGGTCAGTGAAAGCAGGGGAGGCCCGCTTGCTGTTAAGTCAAAGATTTCCACTCATCAGCAAAGCCAAAGGAGAGTGCCAGTAGCTAAGTCTTACAGATTTAATGTTTCAAAGCATTAAATTTTTAAAACTCAGCCTTTACAAAGACATGCGATTCAAAACGTTGTGCTCTGAGGGGCATCTTCCAAACAGAATCCTAAGCAGAAATCTGTTGCCTTGAAAATCTTTAGGCTTTTATGGAACATGTAATGGAAAAGGGGCTGTATCATTAAACTGAAGTTTCTCTGCAATTCAAATATTATGCTAATTACAATACAATAGATCTATCTCCTGAAATGTTATTTAGCTGCAAGGTTTTTCACATTCAGTTTTAACTCCCTTAGATGTAAAGATTTCATATTATATTTATATCAACAGTTGCCATTATTTACTAAATACCAGTTTAAAATTCACCAGTTCTTGCCTGTGATATTTTTAATGAACACTTGGTTGTATAAGACAGAGGACTGGGATTATGGGGCATTCATTTTGTAGAGAATGGTATGAGGACTCTAAACTCTGCAGAGTGGAGAACTTAACAATACTTAGAGACGAAATGCATGCAAAGAGGGTCTTTAAGTGATGATAAGCACATCAGTGCTGTGGAGATGCATGTGGATAGCAGATCTTTTTCTTAAAATTCAAGCTCCAAAACCAAGAGGATGAATAATGCCTATTTATACATGTACAAACTGGTTTAGAGTAAAAAAAGCATTTAAGAAAGGTAATTCAAAGGAATTTCCCATAAAATAAGAATAAAATATTTCCTGACATAAAATATTTACATGGCTCTCTGGGGTCAATATGATTTATCCTTCTAAGATATTATTATTTTATCATAGAGTTTTTTAAAGGGCACCTTTAGACCATTTAAGCAGCAACAGCAATTTAGCCTTTCTCTTTCATTATTTAGAAAATGTTTTATTAGTTTCTGTAATCAACCAACGTAGGTAAGACCTTACACAG